GGAGTGTATGATTCAGTGAGACTGTTACAGTTCCTGCATTTTAGTTATGGTACCAGGAGAGGACCAGTACGTGTCTAAATCAGTAGTAGCGCTGTATTTAAATGTGATTAAGAGAAGTTGTAACCAAGGTGCTAATACATCAAGTCATTCGAACTAGAAGCCGTCATTTTCGTCGCGCGTACCATCCTACACGTGGCAATATATTTATACAATTATACAGATTATTGGTCAAGTTAATTAAATCAACATTGTTTATTCGTTGGAAACCATGTCTGCGAAATGTTAATCGTTGTATCTTCTTTATTATATTCCTTTCGGATCCAGATCATCTCGAAGAATTAGTTCCTGTGGGACAATATTTATCCGAATAATGCATGTTTTAAAACGACTTAGAAATTATAACTTAATTTTCTTATTTTATCCTTCTTTGTTCCTCTTATCAAATCTTCTTATCCCTTTCCTTTCTTTGTCCTCTTCTTTTCTCATTCACCATATTTTTTTTCCTCAGCATTTCACCCTTCTCTGCAATCTCTGCGCTTTTTCTTATTATTCCATTCCATTTTTAAGTTTCCTTATTATCTTTTTTGGGAGGCACGCGGTAGTGTAGTCAGTTGTACCACTGTGCTACAAGTCGGAAAGTCGCAGGTTTGATTCTCGAAGAGGTCATTGGATTTTTCAATTGACCTAATCATTCCAGCAGCACTATAGCCCTAGGGTCGTCTCAGCCTCTAACAGAAATGAGTACAAGGATTCTTCCTGGAGGAAAAGGGCGGTCGGCGCATAAGGCCGACGACCTCACCGCCATCTTTAGCCGATTGTCTAGAAAAGGTGGCAGCTTTGACGTCTCACAGTCCTATGGGCCTTCAGGGCCTGTTGCAAGGATAGCTTTACCTCTTTTTTACCATTATCTTTCTTCTTCAACGACTAAACCCACATATTGGCCGTTAAGGGGCTGCCCGAAAGGTTACAAAATGTTTTAGCTTATGATATAGAAGAGAAGCAACATGTCCACACACTTGAGACATTAATAAGCGTATTATGTAGCACTGTAACGGCGTGTTTGACAATTTTAAATGTCAGACTAAATACTGAGATGTTACATGCGTTTGTTGAGAGACACAGGCTTATGACGAAGTTAATGTAATGTAAAATAAATATTGCGCTTTGGATAACTCAGTGACTATACTTACAGTATATCCAGTTAACATGTGGCAGTATTATCTTGTGTTATGCGTCTTGTACGTTTTATTACCTTGCAAAGCAATCCAAATGTCCACCGCAACTAACGCGAAAGCCCGAACTTAAATCTGCTCAAACCAATCCAGTTCATCAAATCTGCTTTCCTAAAATCCATTTTAACTCTAACCTCCAATGTACGGTACATCTTTCTCTGTCAACTAGCTGATTTTATAGGGGGGTCCACACCAAAATTCTGCACGTTGTTCTTTGGTCTTCCGCCCATGCTACGTGCTAATCGTAACTGTGAGAAACAATACAATTTATAGAATACAAAATATTTTAATATTTTAAACAACCCAATGTGGCGTCATCATTTTTCGAACTTCCGAAATGTTTTGGAACAACATTCGTTGTAACAAGTCTTTCCATCCTGGTTTCTACTTGAAGAAAATTTCTTCTATTGGTACAGTTGTACCTCCATACTAATGTATAAATTCTACTGTTGAAAGGAGACGGATTATATGCGATCTTCATCCTGTCTGTGTGTCTGTGTCTCCCCCCCCCCCNAACCTTGGAAAGCCTGAACCAATATGTACGAGACTTGGTATGTACACGGTGTGTCCAGGATCCGTTAGAACTCTGTTCCCCCCCCCCTTGTAGTGCCATCTGTTGGCAAGTGGTGGCGTTAATATTCAGCTGTGGCTGTCTATAATTTCAAAGCACAAGCTTCGCTGCATCACGTGTTCTGACCTCGAATGTAGAAGTACTGTTCTGACTCCCGTCGGAAAATGACGGTTGAACAGAGAGCGACCATCAAATTTTGTTTGAAGTTAGGCAAAACAGCCGAAGAACCGTACGAAATGATGAAAAGTGTGTACGGTACTGATTGAGTCGCTCGAACATTTTCGATGGTATGCTATATTTCGTGACGGCAAGGAAGACATTGAAGACGCTCCACGTGCATCAAAGCCGAGAACAAGTCGCACCGAAGAAAATGTGAAAAGAAGTGACCGAAATCCTTGCATGAGACAGATGTGTTTCTGCAAGACTATTCTAGGAGCTTTTGGGAATACCATAAAGTAATGTGCATCAAATTTTTACCGAGGATTTGGGCAAACGGAAGGTCTGTGCGCGGTTTGTACCGCACGCGCTGTCAGGCGATGAAAAACATGCCAGAGTGAAATACTGCAAAGACATGTTACGGTCGGCTCAAAGTGATACAAAATTTACAAAATCGATTGTTACTGGTGACGAGACATGGTGTTTTCAATACCAGCCACTCACAAAGCGGCAGAGTGCAGCGTGGTTGAGCCCAAAGAAGTCGAAACCAAAGAAAGTGGGTATGCAAAAGAGTCGAGTAAGGACACTGCTAACCGTTTTCTTCAATTCCAAAGGAATCATTCACAAGGAATTTCTGCCAGAAGGTCAGTCAGTGAATTCTGATTATTATATCGGAGTCCTCAATCGTTTGTGGGCAAGAATTCTTCGAATTCGACCTGAATATCGAGAGCAAGGTTCCTGGTCGGTCCTCCACGACAATGCCCCATCCCACAAATCGAAGATCGTGCAAGATTTTTTGGCCAGAAAAGGGATCACAGTCCTTGATCATCCTCCGTATTCGTCAGATTTGGCTCCAGCAGATTTCTGGTTCCCAAAAGTTAAGTTGGCGATGAAAGGAGACCGTCATGACACCATCCAGGACATCCAAAGGAATCTACCGCAGTTTTAAATGCGATTACACAAAGGGAGTACAGTGACTGTTTTCGAAAACTTTTCAATCGATTCTAGCTATGTATTGATTCAGAAGGAGACTATTTTGAATAAAAAGAGTGAAATTTTGAAAATAATTCACATCTTGTATTTTTAATGAACACACTCGTAACAGAAACTGGACACACTGTGTATATCATGGCACCTGAACCCAGTTCAGCAGCATACTTCATAATTCCCTGCCATCAGTTTGTGTGCCTGTATGTAGTAGTATTAACCGCCTATCTTCACTAAGCAACGGCTTGGTTAATTTTATCCTTCCTTTCAGTGGTAAGCAACGGCTGGGTAAACACTTCTCCGCGATAACGGACATATGCAAGAATAGAAGAATTGTTGGACGCGTCATTTACTATGCGGTCCGTGTTTTATCGGAAGAGGGTCTCTGGGTCTCTCTGTCTGTGTATCTCCCTATCCTAGCGAGGTAACAACTAAGTAAACACGTTCCGACTGCAACGAAAAGTTGTTGGAGACGTTCTCTATGCGATCCGTATCATAGAAGGGAAGTAGGCGATTAGTTCTTCCCTTAATATGGTGGGAACTCTAATTTTCAAAGAGACCCTACCTCAGTCACCGAATAAACGGTAAACACACTGGACACAACTTGGAACGATGTGTTGTTGTGCCCCAGATTATTAATGGATCGATTTTGTGTTTAATTTATTAGAAAATAATTATAAGTTTAATAAATTGAAATACGTTGGGTGAACCACAGGTTGGTCAGCCGGAAACCAGGGCTGAGATCACCTTTAGACGTAGCACGTCCCGTAGCCGTCCGGTTCAGTTGTGTAGTTTACAGAAATTGCTGAGCAATCAGAAGAACGTCACAGAAGCAAGTCTCTCCTGGCAGGATATCGGCCAGAAGGAATCTGCCGATTTTAGAATTTTGAGTGCACGGAATTTTTATGATGTTGAATTTTGAGGGGCTCGGACGGGAGAAGCATCGAACACTCTGACTTTAGGAGTCGCTGAGAACAGTCGCGAGGTAGGAAGGAGAAGCGATGGAGTCAGATTTCTTCCTCTTTTGTGAGCAAGAGTACTTGCCTGCATTCGGATCACTGGTGGTTGTCGATATATAGTTCCGGTTCAATGATTTTGGTTTGGTAACGGACTTTTAAAGAATTTTAAAGAATTTTTAAAGAGTATTTTTTTTTATTTATTGAGTGATTATGAGAATGTACAAATTTTGATTTGTCAAGTGATGAGGAAAATGCAAGAATTTGATTCAATAATTAAGCTTAGGACGTAATATTTCATTCACTGGTTGCTTGTTGAAAGTATAAAATTTGACCCGTTGAGTGATACTATAGGAAATATGGTTTATTGATGTTAAGAAATAAAATTTCGGTCACTAATTAATGGTTAGCATACGAAATTTGGTTCATTGTTAAGATATACATTTTGGTTAGCGAATTAAGGTTAGAGTGTGAATTTAGTTCGCTGATCTTACATGATAATTTTGGTTTACTGACTGCAGAGTACAGAAATTTGGTTTACGCCATGCAGGTTTAGTAGACTATGGGTAGTAAGGTTCAAGAGGTTATTGCAAGGTGTAATCACAGACTAAGTGTGTTAAGAGGCTTTACATATGTAATTGTTGAGTTAATTATATTTGTTTTCGTTTTAACATGTTAAGTGTTTATTTGGGGTATTAGCACTAATTAATTCGTTGGGCGGAGTAGAAGCTGTCCACAGATGTTGAACTGGTAGCAGTTAGGTGGGATTTTCTAAATTTTGATGGTGGCAGCTTTGGAATAAGTATAAGAAATTTGGGTGCCTCGTAATAATAAACTGGCCGCAAGACGGGAGGCACAATAATTTGATGACAGCGGTATGATATAATAAGAAATTTTTATGTCACAATAATTTTTGTGACGAAACAATTTGGTGGCACAACACTATCTCATGCGTGACGTTGGAAACGGCTAAATAATTAAATTACTTGAAATCGACTGCATATATTAAAGCCTCGCTTCTGGCAGAAGAATTAACTTCCAATTCTGTATTTTTATAGACCATTTCTAATCAGCAAATGTTCTGCGTTTCTTTTTCAGGTAAGCGTTGAATTTTTCAACTATGAGTGCGTCCACGTGCTGGTTCCATGTACCCTACACACAGAGAAGCAGGAGGTATGTAAAGTATTGGCGTTCTGTGAACATCTGTTCGTTATATATAGAGTCTATCCTACATTCAGAGACTCTTGCTCACACGCAGCAGCACTGCAGTCCATAGTTGCATAGGAGTTGCTAGTATTTCCCACTTTTACGGTTACAAAATCACCTCTAACAAAACACACTTCACTTCACCACGATAACATACATAACATACGATACCATGACATAGAAATATTGTCAACTCCTTACAGTTTTCTTGACAGACTGTACTTCTCCGTGTTGCACTTGTGGTTTTTTGCCTACGCTTTACAAACGCGTCAGTAGTAATTCTTTATCAACACACATAGTTTTCATGGCCACAGGAATGCTAATAATTTTACACTGTTCTGAGGATAGCTCAGTAGGTATAACGATGGGCTACAAGCTGGACCGACGGTGTTCGTTTCCCGGCAAGAGCAAACGACTTTTCTCCGCAGCATGTAGACCGCTTCTGGGGCCCGCCCAGCCTCCTGTGTGAAGGGTACCGGAGCTCTTTCCCCGAGAATAAAGCGGTCGGAGCGTGAAGAGCTGACCAATAACCTCCATTTACTGCCGAGCTGAAGAAGGTGGAACTATATCCTTTCCCCAACAGGTTTTCATGGCGTGGTGCTTAATAAATTAAGCACCGGACCAAATTTCCCTTTACGTTTCCTTTATTCCCCGTAGTTTAAATATAGCACTTGCTGGCGTATACCCTTTTAGTTAGTTAGTTATTGGAGAGGGTGGGTTACCCCATGCACTTAGACCAGTATTGGTCCATTGTGCTTCCCTCTATGATATTCTACCAGTCTCTATACCCTACCGATACTGGTGCGTACCATCAGTCCCGACCGAGCCAGCGAGTTCGGCCTCTACTGGCTTAGCGGTATCTATAATGCTTCCCCCATCTATCAGAGGCGTTAGAGACTACTGTTGGGCGGGAAATATCCTTGAATTTGGCTCAGTGACCTCCTTTGGAGATATGAGGTTCTTTTACGTGCGTAAAGTTACGACACGGGACCCACGGCTTAAAATCCCTCCCGGAGGACTTGTTCCCTGAATTTTTCCGCCCTTAAAAATTCCACGACCTCCGCCGGGTTTGAACCCGCGTACCTTGAGTCATGAGGTGGGAACGTTACCTCTAGACTACGGAGGCCGCTGCGTTTACCCTTTACTAAAGCAACATTAACCTACTGGAAGTTGCTGGAGAAAGTCAGAATGTCCGTGAGGGAAGCGTCGTGGAAAATGACTACTCGGAAGACAGAGAATGAAATTCCCAGAAAATATTGTAATCTGATGTTAGGTGGATATAACCTGTGAGTTGAAGGTGGATGGAACAATCTGAGGGCTTTCGCAGAGCAGTGTTGAATCTTCGGGTTGTTCTTCAACCAAAATACAGGATCATTCCTGTCAGTCAAATGGAAGGAACTGCTAAATAGTTACTGCAGGTTTTGTTGTTTTTGGCTCTAAGTAGAATGTACGGAATTTGCTTTTAAGTAAATACTGTTGTGATTACGACATTTGGCATATAATTAGCAGTTTGAAAACTTTCTCATGACATATAAATGTCGTTATATTTAACTTGGGTGTGAACCTACATCCATGAAACCAAATGGTGCCAATTCTTGCACCTGTCGAGATGTTTAGAATGTAAAGTTAGCTACGTTTAGATACAGGAAGTGTCAGAGTATCTGTTCGCTTCTTTAAAAAAAGAAATGAAAATATTCAGACAGTGCGTCCTAGTTCTGTCACCACTGATGTTGCACACACATCAATCCAGTGCTTTAAACGCCAGACACTTCGTCTTATCCTTAACTCATTCATAATAATCATGTCACATGTTTTACTTTGCCAGACGCCCTCTCCGAATGTTAGCACAGTTGGGAGAGTAGAAAATCACTAAAATCTGCCTGTTCTTAGACTTACGTCAATATTATACACAGATGTTCTCTGATAAATGTAGTAGTTGCTGGTTTCTCCGTATCCTAGCAACAGTTGAACGTAGTTTTGGTCTTCCTTCGTACCACAACAACGATCTCATTCTTGTAAGACCCCATTGCTGTCAATCTCATTGTTATCACGATCCCATTGCCCTTCTTGCAAAGAGGACAATGAAATTAGTTGGCTTAGACCGAAACTTATGTACCGTTGCAAGCGCATAAAATCTCCCCATGATTTTCCTCTACATCTTCCCAAATTTGGTCGTAGTAGATGAAACAGTGTTGAAATATGTAAAGAAGAAACAAACAAACAAAATATCTTTATTTGTTGAAAAAGAGAGAAATACTCTGACACCATTAATGTGGCTGCTCCATTGATACTGTGGCATATAGACCCGTTGCTAGACAGCAGGAGAATATATATTCGTTTCTGTGCAAGGGTAGGCATTTTTGAACTATAACAATGGAAACGGTGTTTTCTATGTAGTACGTTCCGAGAAGTTATAAGCAGCAACGAGTTCGATCAGTTGGAATTGTCAGCAGTTCAATTGCATCAAGTAGCATGAAGAAGCTGGTTGGTGAGTGAGAGACTTCAGTAGGAAGACAGCCTGTGAAGAGAAGACTAGGAGGTTGGTGTGGAATGGCCGCCAGACTGGGACCCAGTTAATTAAGGGTTGATAGTTGAAAAGATTTATACACGGTCGCTGTGACAAGAGGACTTGAGTGCAGGAAGCTGAAGAATTACTCTCTGTAGAAGCCATTGCCAGGAAACGGCTAATGGAGACTGTAATAGACTGAGGACGTGTGTCAGTGATCTGTAAAGTGTAATTCCGAGTGTTGTATACAAGTTATCAATAAATCCAACATCTGATCCATAAAGGAGCCGGAATAGCGCAGTGGATATAGAGACTGGCTACGGGCTGAACGACCGAGGAGTCGGAGTTCGAGTCCCGGTAAGGCCAAGAACTTTTTCTTCTCCACGTCCAGGTCAGCTCTGGGGCCCACACAGTTTCCTATCCAATGGGTACCGGGGGCACTTTCTCCCGGCGTAAAGCGGCCGGGACCTGAAGCTGACCACTCACCTCCAACTAGTGCCGAGGTCAAGAACGTATGTATCTATACATCCACTCCTCCATTCGCCTTAATGGCATGGTGCTTAATTATTTAAGTACGGGGACAATTTTACCTTACTCCGTGTCTAGTCACACACCTCTAAAATCGTGACGTCACAGTACGCCAGAGAGAGCAGAGATATGCGACCAGAGGGTGTGAAAACTAATTACATTTACGGCAGAATGACATTTCGGCGGGATTGTAGCTGTATGAGCCTCAGAGGATCTTGCGAGTCTGCTGAAAGATTCAGAGGAGTGGGGAGGGGTGCTGTTGCCAACAGTCTGGGTTGTTATGAAATGTATTATGTGTTAAGTTTAAGAAGCCGATCGAGAAGAGTATCCGGAAGAACTGAAGAATGAGCCATGATAAGATTTTATCCGAAACGCTTATCAGTCATCTCAAGAAGCTGCACAAGAATGACTGAAGCCCCGAGTCGAAAATTTGTTGTTGTGATGGAATTCGAGAAGGTGTGAACCGTTGAGAAAATTGAATTGAAATTTATGACGAGTACATAGAAAATAAAGACTGTTTACTTATACAGTTCTGTTAAAGTTCCGTATGCTTTCTGACTTGCCTTCATGCTATGCAAATTCAAGAAACTGTAGACCTGTGATGGCAACAGAGCTGTTGTGGGACTGGGCAGCCGGGCAAAATGTAGGCGTATATCGGAAGGTTGTTTTAGGGACACAAGTGCATTGTCGCATGTACAATAGGAATATACGAAATAAGACAACACTAAGCCTGGCTGTGCTGGCGTACAGAGAAAAGGCGTGGATATGAGCTCAGACTTTCCTCAACAAACCAGGAAGCTAAGGGAACAACTTAAGACATCTGCTTTCAATCAGTAACAATATATTAACAATTACATAATTGTAAGAACTGGGTGCACGAGGTATCGTAGTTGGTTGAGGCACTGCTACAAGCCGGAAGGTCGCCGGTTCGAGTCCCGATGAGGTGAATTTTTTCAATTGACCTAATCCTTCCAGCCGCACTATGACCCTGGGGTCGACTCAACCTCTAACAGAAATGAGTACCAGGAATCTTACAAAGGGGTAAAGGGAGAGGCCGCGCCATAGCTCAAGCGGTTAGTCGCTGGCTTCCCACCGCGGCGGCCCGGTTTCGATCCCGGGTCTTGTCATGTGGGATTTGTGGTGGACAAAGTGGCGCTGGGGCAGGTTTTCTCCGAGTACTTCGGTTTCCCGTGCCAATCTTCATTCCACCAATTGCTCCACAATCACCCTCACCTATCATCTGGGGCTGGTACATTATGCCAGAAGTGGCCGCAGTACAAGGGACTCAGTCCCACCCCACTAGCAATAAATAAAGGGGGGGGTGTAAAGGGCGGGTGTCGGGTGAGGCTGACAAACCATACCGCCATCTGTGAGCGATTGTCAAGAGAAAATATGGGAGTCTCGACGTTTCACAACTCTATGGACCTTCACGTTCTGTTACAGGGATAGCTTTACCTTGTGTGAACTGTTCCTTCTGTAATTTTCATTGGTGCAGATTCCAACTTCGTTAACGTTTCTAGATCAATTGGCGTACATTTGTTAACATGCAATAGAATGTTTTACACAGAATTTCTAGATTTATGATATCTGTAAACAAAATTCAGTTTTGACTGATTAGATAGGAAGAAGAGTAGTAACAGATACGAAGGAAAGAAAGGGAGAAACAGAGGGAAGATTTAAATATGGAAGAAAGTTGAAAATGTGTAGTGTAAAATTCACGTGTTGTACATGCACGTACGTGTATGTAGCGCGATTATTTCACTTGTTATTTGGGTCATTACATGGGACTCATTGTTTTTATTTAGAGCCAAGTGTCTATGTTAAATGGAGGACTACTGGAGCAGTAAAGTAAACATAATCCAACCTTTGAGAAGAAAGTTTCTCCAAGCTGAACACACAAAACTCCAACCTTCCTGGCATGAAGCTGCGTCATTA